TCATGCGGAAAAAAATCAAGAAAAACCTCTGGGACCAAGGTAAATGATGTCTGGTAACACCCCGTACCTCTCCTCCCCCTCCCCCCTCTCTCTCCTCCCACTCTTGGTATTTCATTTGGTTACTGGAACAATTTACTAACAGCAGTAAATTAAAATATATTTGAATGGAAAAAACACTAGCATCTGTATCAGAAAATGTGTGATTACTGAACAGTGATACAAAGATGATCAAACAGGGAGGGGAGGGGCAGTATGGCAACACTTCCTTTCATGCTCCATGAAAGCATGGAGGTTTGTTCGTTTTTCTCCATTTTTTGTTGTCAGGCACTGGTGGGAGGGATGAGTCTTTCCTTGATCCACCACTAGACTAAGAATAAAACACAACACCAGGGATTTCATTAGCATTTTCAGCAGGAGGGTAACTGGTTTTCACAGGTGGGTGAAACTATTAGAACTGAACTTCTTTACAAGAAATACTTTCAGGAAATACTTTTTTTCAGAAATACGTTATTGTCCTCACGGCCAGTGAATTTGCCTGGCGCCCGGCCCTTAATGAAACCCCTGCAACACTGGGCTAGATGTCCCCATCAAGAGTCTACCCATAGTGAACTAAGCAACCACAAGCCCACTGTACCTCACACAACTAAACAAGTCATCATAACATATGTAACCTTACGACTGCTGACTAAAATTCTCACCTTTTCCAGAGCTCCTTCCAAAACATTTATGTCATGTTCATTTTGATCAATCTGTAACCTACAAATTAAAATAACATGATAATGCCGAATATAAACTGAAACAACTTGGACACATGTCAGTCAAGGTACAATACAATGCTGTCCACACACTATACGCACAACACAGTGCCCAGTGTCAACTGTCTTGGTGGTGTGTGCATTTTAACGTAATAAGCAGGGCTCAAAAAAGTGCCAGACGGTTGTCTGGGACAAGTAGATTTTCCTGCTTCATTCTCATTTGCCCAATGGGCAAGAGATCAGGCAAGTTGTCTGCCAACTAAACCATTAAAAAAGCCCACCAAGATTTGCCCAGGGCAAGCAAAATTTGAGACCTACTTGTACCAAGACTGAAAACACTTGTAAAATTTACATTTGGATTACATTAATTATTTATTGAATGTGCAGCATCTTTCGTTTTGAAACGTACAAACAGGCAACTAATTTGCACTTGGAAAATATTTGTGTATTTGTTGAATGGCTTCACATGTCACTTATTTCAAAACAGAAAATGTCTTTGAGCATGAGGTGACAACAACCTGCGATCAGTTTAATGAATAAGAACTTAAAAATAAATTAAGGCTACAGTAAATCTGTTAGTTCGAAGTTCGTTGCGAAATTGAAATCACACGGTCACGCCGATAAAATTATTGCTTTTTTTAAGTGCCATGGACAATTACTGTTTTACAAACGGACACATTCCATTGAATTTGACAAATAATGTCAGAGAAACAGTTAACTAAACACGACTAAATGAACGCCTACAGTGCTAAGCTTGTTTTACTAAAGTTACATCATTGTAAACGTATTAGTAGGCTCAACTTCACTGTGTGTAATAATACGAACCAACTCAAATCACAGCAAATGCTCACAGCTGTATGAAAGTTGTACTATATTGTGTTGTCCAGAATTGTGAAAACTTCAGTTTAAATGAGAAGCAAACAAATTGAACCATACATTTACTTCAAATAAGCTTACTCTAAGCCCAAACAAACGCTTAAACGAACAACTTTTCTTGTCGTACGATCACCCAAAATCTCACAAATGATAGTTGTGAAAACGTGACTTGCGTAGAGAAATAAGTTTTGTCATGGTGTTTAGGCTAGTATATTCAGAACGTAGTTATGAAAAGAAGTAACTGTCACTTGGTAGGTGATGGGCGTAACGCAGCACCGTGTCTTGTTGCAAAGAGTCAGAACAATCGAAAATGTGAAGCCTTGCGCCTCGCCTATTGACGCTCTTTTCAGTTACACCACTCTCTTCACTTTTCTCACCTGAAACGAGGAGAGTCCTTGAGACACTCTTCGAATTCCACTGCCTGCTTCATGGCTCAATACTCGTACTAACGTTTTTCCCCTGAAACCCTTCACATGAGTCACACCAGCCAGTAATCCCGTGGTTGTTCGTCTGTCTCCTACGCCATGTTTGTTTCTCAAAGTGGGAACTCCGCTAGTCACCAGACTCCAAGTAAGTTTTAATTTAGCCCGGTTGTAAGGTTCGAAACGGTTTTCTTGAACCTGCGATTTTTCAG